TATTTTGGCCAAAGCCCTCCCAGGTCAAATAGGACTCAGGCCATAAGAGAACCTCTGCTGCCACATCACGCAACTCGTTGAGTCCCTGAGTTTCTGATCAAGGAGATTATGGGACCCCAGAGGAAAATGATTATACAGTGTAATGTGCCTAAGGAGTGTCACCAGGAGAAAACAGTCTCCCAAGCGTTCAAAGAAGGCAACTTGGTCAAGCAATGGCTGTGACTCATCCAGATGGCTGGCACTGACAGAAGTACTAAGAGGCACTGCACATGGTTCCAAGGTAAATCCTGAGGAGACTTAACTGACCTTAATAGGAAAAATTAATATTAATTTAGAGGTCTCACTTTAACTTGGTCTTGAGCAACCAACAGAAAAATATAACTACAAGCTGTTAGATAAATGATAAATAATAATAATAACAAGGTGTTCCAGTTCAATTAATAACATGGGACAAGGGTATGCTTGTATATTGACAGGTCTTCAACTACCATTGTAGATGCCATCCTGAAACATGGTGCCATAACCTGTCACGGATTCTACAATGTACTGATTTTATTAACATGCTTGGACTCATGACCGGAGCCTGGCCCGGTCACATGACACAAGGGAATCAAGGATTTGATTCCTTCCTAAAATCAGTGGGGAATGTAAAGGCCTCACAAGGGACATGCATGGCCTCACAAAGAACACGAAAAATTACTGATTACCCCCCCTCTTGTCCTTTCCACCTGTGTCATTCTGCATTCTGGCCAATCCCTGAAACTCCCTGAACGTATTGTTCCTTTCTTGCAAGTTTCCTAAAGTTTCTATAGTTTCTGGGAAGACTGCTTCACAAAGACTTCGCTTGCCAAGCAGGATGTGGTTTTTTTGGCTTAAAAGCTGCTCTCACACCTGGTTTGCTGCTGATCTGATCCTACCCTGCGTGAAGGCTCTCGGTCAGTCGTTGGCCAGCTAATAAAGGCTCATTCTAAAATCTCAATTGGCGATCCGTGCATTTTGGTGTTTGTCGGTTGGTACCTTGGTTCAGTTCTGAGTCCAGAACATGGAAGGGCCACTGAGGGGCGCCATTTGTGCCTAGTGTTTGGCATAATTTGAATTATGAATCTCATTTATTTTTTAAAAATTAGGACTATTTGGATTTTTCTTTCTCCTTGTATTCACTTAGATAAGACATTTTAGAAGCATTTGTTCATTGCGCCTACATTTTCAAATCGTTATGCATAACATCATCTTATTATGTTTCAGATCTATAAGATACGGCATGATGTACCTCTTTTTAATACTTAGTATTGGTTATGTTTGACTAACCTCATCTAAAGTTTCACCATTTGATTAGTATTTATAAAACACCAACATTTTGCTTGCTCAATTCTCATTATTTGGTGTTTGGTTTGCTTTATTATTTTTGCTCTTTTCTGTATTATATCATTCATTTTACTTTATTTGCATTTATTTTGTTTTTCTTCTTCTGTGGTTTCGTCCCAGTAGCTGTGATTGCAATGTTGATGGTTCCTTACTGTGGAAAAAAACCAAGCAGATTGCTGGGTGTGGTGGTGCACGCCTGTAATCCCAGCACTCGGGAGGCTGAGGCAGGAGGATCATTGCAAGTTCGAGACCAGCCTGGGCTACAAAGTGAGCTCAAGGCCAGCCTGAACTGCATAGTGAGACCCTGTCTCAAAAAGACCACCCCCCCAAAAAAAAACCCAAACAACAACACGCAGATTAAAGAACCAGGGAAAAATACAAAACCCCCTAAAATGAAACTTTTTGGTAAAATCCTGGTAAAGGTAATTACAACCTTTTCTGCACCCCATCTTCTGACCTAAGGAAACATTCTGGGGCCTTTTTCCCCTCATGCTAACATGTATTGTATAACTGAGCTACAACCCCATGCTAATGGATTGTTCTTTCTTTGTCTTTCTCCCTTCCTTCCTTCCTTCCTTCCTTCCTTCCTTCCTTCCTTTCTTTCTTTTGCTCAGGTTAGCATCAAACTCCTGTACTCAAGCAACCCTCCTGCCTCAGTCTCCTTAGTACCTGAGACTACAAGTTCATCTCACAATCCCTAGCCCATATTCTGCTTCTTGGATCCATGAAATGGTCATAATTATTTGGCCTCTGGGTGCTGATTTATCCTCTCCCTATTCAAAAGTGTTTTTCTAGTTCAAACTTTCTAGAGCCATTTTCAATTTCAGATCTAGAACATTTCCTTCATAACTGACTTTCAAATCAGTGGCATTTGACACACCCCTGATGCCTAGTGGCTGATATGGCCCTTTCAGGACTAGATTTTTATCATCTGTGGGGCAATCTGTGGTGGCATCCACAGGTGAGTGGTCTAACTCCGCTCCACTGCATTGTTAGGTTGATCACCCTCCCTTGCATATTCACAGGGCATCAGCATCATATGTATAAAACACATTCAGTGGGTAGTAATCCACAAAGAAGCAACAAGTTAGGAGATGAGCTCTCATTAATAATATGACGGGTCACACAAATGCGGAGGGATTGGAAGAGAAGAAGATGACCAAGAAGGGAAGGAAGCAGGGAGCCTGGAAGAGGTACTAGAAGGAGAGATGTAGAAGCAAACTCTTGAGGGGCTGGGGAGCCACAGAGGGTTCTAGAAGCCTTCCTACACCTCACAGTCCTTAAAGAGATAGAGCTGGGAAGAGAACCTAGTGTCCAAGAGGACACAATGACTCTGCCATTTCTTCCACACCCTTCCTTTGCTCAAGCCCTTGCTGCTTGCCATGCAGTGGAAGAACACAGTTTGAAACCAACACCATGTCCTATGGGAAGCAAAGCTGCCACTTTTGGGGAGGATGACGATGTCAAAGGCCGCAGTTCAAGACACAGGAATCCTTAGGTGGCCAGAAGCTTGCAGGATCAACTATCAGGATCTCTAACAGGGTGTGGCAGGGGCTGGATGTTCTTTATCCAGTCAAAGTCTGGATCATCCTGCTGAGTATCGCTCTGAATTATTTTAATCACGCCACCGGAGATTCAGACACCACCATTATTGATACATAAATGCTATGTTGATGATTTATTGTTGATCCTTGGCTTTAAAAAATTCTCTCCCTAGGATCTGACCACACTCCAGATGTCTAATAAACAACTCCAGGCTTCCAAAAACTCATCCGTCACACAGGTCAAGTGGCACAAGATTGTGGTTTTGGGGTTATTCACTGCAATTTGGGTGAGTATTCTTCTTCCTACTTATCTCTATCTACCGAGGGAGCTAGTTACTTTCATCTGGGAAATTCTTTCTTTTCCTGCTTATAATCCAGAAGCAGAAGTGTTATGATGGCATAAACCCTTAGAGAATGAACAAAAAGAACCTTGGGACCGTAATGTTAAGTGAAGTAAATAAGACACACAGTTTAAATATCACATGGTTTCTCTTATATGAGAAACCTAATATTTAAAAAGTGCAAAATAAAGGAGAAATGATAGAAAAAGAGAGAGAAAAAGTTACCATAACCCAGCATGGCTGTCTTTGTTACTTTTCTCATCACTGAGATGCAATACCCAACACCCTCAAGTTAAAGGAGGAGAGGTTTATTTCAGCCCACAGTTTGTAGAGGTTTCACTCCATCGTCAGCTGGTTCCCAGGCAGCGCAGCATGGCAGAGGAGAAACAGTTCATGGCATGGCAGGCAAAAGGCAGCAAAGCAGAAAAGTAGCAAAGCAGCAGCAGCAAGCCTCCCTTTCCCTTTTATCCCATCTAGGTTACAAGCCTATTTGATGGTGCCACCCACACCCAGGGTGGGCCTTCCCATTATCCACACCCAGAACTATACTAAACCAGTCAGTGGACTCATCTAGCAGCAGACCCCCTTACACTTGAGACCCAGCCATCTCCAGAAAACCCCACCTACAAGCACTGAGGCTTTAGCAGGGCGTGGTGGGGGAGGACATCTAGATACAAGCCATAACAATAGCCAATGTATCTAAACATGTACCTTGATTTAGTATAACTGTCTCACGTGTTTTATATGTTTTTTGGCCTGTTCATGTGGGTCTTAATCTGTGTTTATAGTAACTAACTCTATAAAAACTTATAAAATAAATAAGTTGTTCCAATGAATCTGATGCTGGCAAAAAAAATTGTTTTAAATAAAATGGAGACAGAGCCGGCCATAGTGGATTACAGAGCCTATAATCCCAGCACTTGGGAGGCTAAGGCAGGAGGATTGTTGCAAGTTTGACACCAGCCTGGGCTACAAAGTGAGTTTAAGGCCAGCCTGAACTGCATAGTGAGACCCTGTCTCAAAAAAAGACAAATAAATAAATAAATAAATAAATAAAATGGAGGAGAGGAAGAGGGAAAAACAACTGAGATGTGTTGTGTACATGTACCAATTCTCCACAATGAATGTAGTCATTACATACTGCAAACATTTACTAATAAAAATAAAAAAAGAAAGAATGAGCAAACCAGGTGTGGTGGCACATGTCTGTAACCCCAGCACTCTAGAGGCTGAGGCAGGAGAATCACAGGTTTGAACCCAGCCTGGGCAACTTAGCAATATAGCAGACCTTGTCTCAAAATAAAAAATAAAAAAGGGTTGGGCTGTCACTTAGTGGAAAGGCTCTGAGTTCAATCCCCAGTACAAGGAAGGAAGGAAGGAAAGAAGGAAGGAAGGAAGGAAGGAGGAAGGAAGGAAGGAAGGAAGGAAGGAAGGAAGACGCAAGTGAACAGGTTGAGCAGATCATATCAGGTAGGGGCAGTAGGTAAGGGAGACCAAAGCAGAAGCCCAAAGGATTTTGTTAGAGAAGATGGAAATCCAAGCTGTCTGTGCTCTCTCTCTCTCTCTCCAGGTTGTTCCCTTCCAGTTTAAAAGGGAGAAAGCCTCCGCCACCTATACCTTGTCTCTAAGGATACCTGGTGTCCCCACCCAGGCATATATGTAGAAATTTTCTTTTCTCCTTGATTCTGCTGAAGAAAAGTTGTAATTTTTCAGAAAGGAGCTCTACTGGAAATAAATAGGACAAAAAGGCAAAGTCAAAGATAGAAGCCTATGTGTTGACAAAGGACAAATCACCATGTTAAATAACAACTGGCCTCAACCTGAGTTGCATTAATAGCATCTTTTCTGGGTATTAGTTCAAACTTTCCAAAGTTTAGATAAGCTAAAGCCATTGCTGTGACTTGTTCTGGTGAGACTTAGAGACTTTTCTTTCTGGCCTGGGGGTATAGCTCAGTGGCAGAGCCTGCCTGGCAAGCACCTGGCAAGCGCAAGGTCCTGAGTTTGATTCCTGGTACCAAACAACAACAACAACAACAAAAAAAAAAAAAAAACAAACCAAACAACAACAACAGAAAGAATCTTTTTCTTATTTATTTCTTTTCCCCCCTTTATTTATACTTATTGTAGTGAAATATAAGTAACATAAAATGTAGCATCTAAACCATTTAATGTGTACATTTCACTGACATTAAATCCGTTTATAACTCTGCGAAGTCATCCCCACCTTCTGTCTCCTTAACTCTTTTCATCTTACAAAACTGAAACTGTACCTGTTAACAGCAATTCCCCATCCCCTCCTCCGCCCAGGCCCTGGCAACCAACATTCTACTTTACATCTCTGATTTTGAATACTCTACTGATCTCGTGTAAGTGAGGTCATTCAGCATTTCTTCTGGGAGGGCTGGCTTATTTCACTTAGTGTCAGACCCATGTTGTAGCATGTGTCCAAATTTTCTTCCATTTTTGGGCGGAGTAAGAGTCCATTCTATGGATATACCACATTTTGCTTATCCATTGACTTGTTGCTGGATACTTGGCTTGCTTTTACAGTTTAGCTATTGTGAATAACGCTATGGACATGGATGTACCCGTATCTTTTTGAGACCCTGCTTTCCACTTTGGGGGGGTCTATACCCAAGTAGAATTACTTCATCATATGGTAATTTTATTTTTAACTTTTAAAATATTTTCCACTGTGGATGTACTACTTTATATTCCTATCAATGGTGTGCAGTTGTTCCAATTTCTGCAAATCCTTGTCAGTATTTTTTATTTTCTGGTAATTATAAATAATACCATCCTTCTTAAAGACTGTAAGGTAGTATCTTGTGGTTTTGATTTACATTTTTCTTTTTGTTTTGTTTTGCTTTTTGAGACAAGGTCTCACTATGTAGTTCAAGCTGACCTTGAACTCACTATATAGCCCAGACTGCCTCAAACTCACAGTGCTTTCCTGCCTCAGCCTCCTGGTGCTGGGATTATAGGTGTACACTCCCATGCCTTGCTGATTTGCATGTTTCTAATGATTGGTGTTGAGTATCATTTCATGTGGTTCTTGGCTACTAGTATATCTCTTGTAGAAATGTCTGTTCAAGCCTTTTGCCCATTTTTGAATCAGGGTTTTTGTTGTTTGTTCTCTGTATACTGTGGCTATCAATACCGTATCAAATACATGATTTGCAAATTCTGTCTCCTAATCTGTAGATTGCCTTTGACTATTTACTTTGTGATAATGTATTCTGTGCACAAAATTTAACTTTTATGAAGACTTGTCTTTTTTTTCTTTTGTTGCCTGTGTTTTTGGCATCATATCCAATATCACTGCCTAATGCAAAGCTGTGAAGCTTTTGGCTTAAGGTTTCTTCTAAGAGTATTATAGGAAAGACTACCCTGCTTCCTCTCTGTCCATCTATCCTCCTCTTCACTTTCTCTTCCTCCTTCTCCTTCTCTCCCTCTTCTCCTCTCTCCCTCCTCCTTCCAAGATTCCACAACCATTTCTTTTTTAAGATAGAGTCTCACTATGTAGTTCAGGCCAGCTTTGAACTCACTCTATAGTCCAGGGTGTCCTCGAATTCACGGTGATCCTCCTGCCTCAGCCTCCCAAATGCTGGGATTCCAGGCATGTGCCACCACGCCCAGCTCCCATAACCTTTTTTAATTTGTACTTTGCCTTCATGACTGAACTCAGGCATCTTCAATCACTTTCCCCTCTACAAACTCTTCACTTCCAACTCGGGCCGTGGCTCCTTACCTACCTTACACTTACTACATTTCTCAGTGACTTTGGCCAGCTAAGGGGCAGAGGTTGTCCTTTTCTTTTAGCACCAGCCCTCACAAAGTACTCATTCTTTATTGAGGAAGAGATTGAGCATTTCTGATTGGTTTCAAGGTAGAGAGAAATCTATAAATCCTTAAAATATTTCAGTCACAAACTATATCAGTAACTTGTAGGAGGGTGACACAGAGAATTCCAGCCTCCAGGGTCTTAACTAAGTGCATCTGAGATGGATGTGAACGGCCAGAGTGAAGGAAGTACCTCCTAACTCTCCTCCTTTGCACCAGATCTTCCTCTCTCTATGCTTATCAAGTCTTTCTGCCTGCTCTTCTTGATTTTATCTGGGACTCATGCGGAGAAACACCGGCGTATTCCCCGTGCCTTGGTCCAGATGATACCCGGAAGTATCAAACCGTCAGGACTATGTTATGTAATGTCCGTGCTACAAGGAAAAGCTTGATTAAGGGAAGGGTCAAGATCCTTGATATGTGGGTGCAGTCAGGGAGAAAGTTACACAGGGAGATAAATACGACACACCCTAAAACTGAACTTTCTTCCCGGGGACAAACTGCTGAGCGTTTGTTTCGTGAGTTGGAGCCATGTGAATACGCTTCCCAGGAGGCGAGGCTGACTTAAGCTTTTGCTTACCTGAAGCTTGGAGATTTGCTGGGCGCTGGGGAGAGCGGGAGTCAGAGCCCGCTCCATTCCAGACTCTCCCTTGTATCTGTGCTTTTATGTAGCTTTTCTTCCCTTCAGGGTCGTCCGTCTTCTCTTGCAACTCTCCTATGTGCGGGCAAACCTGGGACCCCCAGGTGCTTAATTCCACTGACTGCTCCCGGAGGGCCCCTGGCTCTTTCTGTGTGTACCCAAACCCCTCCTTCTAAATCTAGGATGAGGTGGTGGGAAAATAGGGAGGGGAAAGGGATTTCCTCTGGTTTTAGCGTCCAGGGAGAGTATCATAAATGTCTGGGCAAGGCAGCGGCTGGGGGATTGGAGTCGCTCCTAGGCTGCCCTCTGGCGGTAGCGGGGATGTGTGCAGGTGGTGAGGCAAAAGCCAGTGAGGGCAGAAGTTCGTTCTGTGGGATAAAATGGGACGGGTCTGCAGACACGTACGCATCTGCTGAGACTCCAGACTGGGCCAGAGGCAGCATAAGGCAGACATGACCCCCGGGCAAAGGACAGCTAAGCTTGGTGTACTGAAATCTCTGTCCCAGAAGGAAAATGAAGTGACACACACCACAGACAAGTTCCTCTTTCTCTACATACAGGTGTTGTACTACACGGTTTCTTGGCCTGACAGCACCATCCCTCGGCCCCCAGGACCCCGTCCTGCGCACAAATCCCCCATCTTTCTCTCCAGGGCACTTGCCAATCTGACTCATCTTCTGTACTGGCCTCTGACTCCAGGACACAGAGGGGACATTTTGGCCTCCACCAGCCCCCAGACCTCCACCTACCACCTGAGGAGTCCTGCCCGGGCCAGCTACACCCTGGGAAGCTACCTGGAGGCCATCCTTGTGGCCCGGGACCATGGGGGCAGACCCAAGACCCACGGTGGAGATCTGTTTCGAGCACAGCTGCTGGGTCCTTATCTGAGTGCAGGGGTCCCTGGGGATGTCCAGGACCTGGAGAATGGCACCTACCTCTTGTCCTTCCCCCTGCTTTGGGCTGGCAGGGCCCAGGTGCAAGTGCGGCTGATCCACTCCAGCGAGGCAGTTGGGGTTCTGCGGAGAATCTGGAGAGAAGAAGGGGCCACAGTCGATTTCACAGGCTACTTCCGGGGACCCACGGGATATGAAGAAAATATGACTTGCAATGTGAACCCCTTGTTGTTTGGGGAGGAAGAAGCTATCTGTTACTACAAGGATGAAGATTCTGGTGAGCTCTGGTTCTGTGCCCAGCCCTTAACCCTGCCTTGTGACTCACTGGTAGGACATTCAGCTGGACGTTACTGGAATGTGACCACACCACATGAAGATGCCCTGTTGGCATGGTAAGAAACCCACAATCTACAGAAGTGTCTTGGTTATTTATTTAATTTTTCATTGCAGTGCTAGGGATTGAATCCAAGACCTTCACACTGAACTATGACCCCAACGCTTCAAACAAAAAAGTCTTATTTTGAGATAGGGTCTTGCTAAGTTGCTAGGTTGCCTGGGCTGGGCTGGAACTTGCAATCCTCCTGCCTCAGCCTCCCAGAGTGCTGGAATTACAGACATGCTCCACCATGCCCAGTAGCTTTTCATTTAAATTCCAGCAGGTGGAGTCTTACAGATTAGAGGGGCTCATGTGCCACAAAGACACACAAAAGGCCTTTTATAAACCATAGAGTTACCTCTGTTACATAGGATGGGCTGGGCGCTCTCAGAACCCAGCAAAGATTATCATTCAAACCATGGTGCACTGAGCAACATCGCTCAGGCCCCAGGGAAATACTACTCCACACTTTCCCCTTGTGTCCTAAAATCAGAAATCCTGACACTTGTGTGGTATAACTCTACAGATGCATAGACATCCTTTTATATTGTGACAGTGATTGGAGTGGGAGAAGCTTTTAGGCAAGAAAAAGGGTGAGTTAATTAACTTGTCAATCTTTACTCTCAGATTCTTAAATAAAGAAGACTCACTTCCTTGGAAATAGAAAGAAAGAAACCTGGTATCATCAGAGACACCCAACCCAACCCCTGACTCCTGGTCTCTGTGATTTTTTTTTTTTTGGCAGGGGGGTCTTTTCTGAGACACGGTTTCACTAAGCAGTTCAGGCTGCCCTTGAACTTCTGAAAATCCTCCTGCCTCAGCCTTCCGAGTGCTGGGATTACAGGTGTGCACCACCACACCTGGCTTCTGTGATTATTCTGACGATGCTCATCAATAATCTCTTCATCTCTATTAAACGCTTTCTGAGCACCGATGTCAGGTGTTATGGTTTGATCTGAAATGGACCCAGAAGTCGTGTGTGTGTGTGTGTGTGTGTGTGTGTGTGTGTATGGTGATTGGATCATGGGAGTGGTGCACTCATCAATGGATTCATCCGGTGAGTGCAGCAGCTGATAGGGACCTGGGTGGGGTGGTTCGCTGGGAGCTGGAAAGGAGTGTGCTCATCCTAGATCCTCCCGTCTCTCCCTCTCTCTGCTTCCTGGCTGCCATGGGATGAGCACCTTTTCCTCTGCTATGTCCCTCTGACATCCCTTTTCTGCCCTGACCCAGGCCTGAAACCGTGAGCTCAAGTAAGCCTCTCCTTTAAGTTGTGGGTGTTGGGCATCGTGTCTCAGTGATGAGGAAGTGGCTGAGACCCCGGGTCCCGCGCTAAGTGCTAGCTGTACGCAGTAGCCTCCCTGCCTTCCTCAAGCTTTCGTGGCGGCCCGCGGCTTTTAAAAACATGGTCAACAGAACAGAGTGGCGAGCAGCGGGCTTTGGTAGCATTTAGCTCTTAGCTTTGCCTTTGAGCCCCTCCCTGCGCTGTTCCGGGCACTGACCGCGGTGCTGGAGGCCCGGAGGCTGGGAGAAGGCAGGGAGGTGGCCCGGTTCCAGTTCCCAGTTCCGCAGCAGCTGATAGGCAGTAAACAGATAACCGCACCATGTGGTGAATGTGCGCTGCACGTGAGTTTGTGATCTCAAAGGCAACTGTTTTCTTTACAACCGTAATCCAATTCTGAAGACTTCTGCGGCAAAATGAGTGGCAAGGGGAACCAGTGCCGATGGCCCTGCCAAGGAACCCACCTTGACCATCAGGAGTCTTCCTTAGCCCTCTGTCCACACTGGTCACCTCGAAGTACGGTCACCTGTCCACTGTCCAAGCCTGTGTGGTTGGGGCGGCCTCTGAGTGGAGGGGCACCTCGCTGTGGGCCTGCTAAGCTTCCATATGAAAAGAGGAAGTGCTGATAAACAATAAGCATAACATTGAGTAAATTATATGGAATATTAAGAGATGTGTGACGTAGAAAACTTAAAAATATAAAGGAGGAGCCAGGTGTGCTGGTACACATCTATAATCCCAGCACTCTGAGAGGCTGAGGCAGAAGGACTGAAAGTTCAAGTCCAACATGGGCAACAGTGAGACACTATCTGAAAAAAAAATTTAAATGTGCTGGGCATATAGCTTAGTGCAAATGCCCTGGGAGATCATATGTATATATGTATGATCTTATGTATGTATGAACTTACGTATGATCTTATGTACGTATGAACTTACGTATATATGACCTTATGTATGTACAGTCTTATGTATGTATGAACTTATGTATATGTGATCTTATGTATGCATGGCCTTATGCATGTATGACCTTATGCATGTATGATCTTATGCATGTATGATCTTATGTATGTATGACCTTATGTATGCATGATCTTATGTATGACCTTATGTATGCATGACCTTATGTATGTATGACCTTATGTGTGAATGATCTTATGTATGACCTTATGTATGTATGATCATATATATATATGGGAAAGAAAGAAAGGGAGAGAGACTTTGACTCTGGGTGTGAAGGTGCATCCCAACATTGAGAGGCTGAGGCAGGAGGATTGCAAGTTCCAACTCAACCTGAGCAAATCGGTGACTTGTGAGACTGTGTCTCAAAATTTTGAAAACAATTTTAAAGGACTGAAAACGTAACTTATTGCAAAGGCCCTGGGTTCAATCTCCAGTACTGGGACAAAAAATGGAGGAAAAATTAAGAATGGGTGTGATAGGGGCAGTTTAAGGAGCAAGCAGGGAGACTGAGAGGTTGGAGGTTCTCCAGAGACTAGGCAAGACATGACGTGCCTTAGACTCAAGTTGCAGTAGTAGAGGTACATTTACAGTGGTCCATTTCTGGATATATTCTAAAGGTAGAGACCACTGAATTACCTGAGAGACAACATGTAGAATGTGCCAAAGAGAGAGAAGGAAGAAGAGAGAAGAAGAGGAAGGAAGGGAGGAAGGGAGGGAAGAGAACAAGAGAGACAGACACTGAGACAGGGGGAGAGAGGGAGACAGAGAGATGCAGAACTTAGGGATGGTTGCATCTGTGGGAGTGGCCATCGGCTACAATGGGGTGAACTATAGGTAGGGAGGTGGGGGTGGTGACCAGGGGTCTAGGTGATCACGTGTATTAGTTGTTGTGCAGAGATGCTGAGCAGACATTTAGATACAAAAATCTGGAATTAGGCAGAGAAGGCTGGACTAGGGAGATAAATGAGCATGATAAAGTCAGGAGGCTAAGTGAAACTACCAGAGGAACCAATGTAATTTTAAAAGAGGAGAAAAGACTGAACCTGTGTGCTCTGAATAAAGAGGAAGAATTATTTAAAAAAAAAAAAAAAGGCAAAAAAAAGCAATGAGGAGAGGGAGGGAACTCACCACCTGGAGGGGCCTTAGTGGGACTGAGAGTTAAAGCTTCTCACAAAAGGCTCCAGGCATCTTTTTTGTATTGTGTGTATGGGTTGCTGCTGTTCTCTGTTTTTGAGGGTCTCACTACGTAGTTCAAGCTGGCCTTGAACTCACTTTGTAGCCCAGGCTGGCCTCAAACTCCCAATGATTCTCCTGAGTGCTGGGATTACAGGTGTGCGCCACCATGCCTGGCTGTTTTTCTGTTCTATATTTTATACTGCTTTGAAATTATGGGGCCTTGTAGACCTGGGAGGAACCGCCTCCCCCAAGGCTAACTCCTAGCTAACTCCTAGAAGCAGCAAACAACTTGCGTTGGAGCATGCCTTTGTCACGCCACTCAATTCTGAGTCCGTACCACCCACCACCCGCTTGTATCAGGTTCTTACAGCCCTGCACGGCACCTCTCTGCCTTAAATCCCCTCAGGATTTATAGCCCAGAGCCCACTAAAATTATTCCGACTAGCCAGTTTTAGACGTTCTCAGCTGCTAACCCTGTCTCTTCCCTGAGAAGACTGTAACAAAGACTTTGCCCATGTTTTTTTTTTTTTGTAGCAGGAATTGAACTCAGGACCTTGCGCTTGCCAGGAAGGCGCTGTGCCGATGAGCTATCTCCTCAGCCCTGCCCACACTTTTTCCTCTGCTTTTTCCCCAGTGCTTCCCTCTGTTTCCTTGTTGGGCACACAGAGCCCCTTCCTCACAGGAACTGTGAGTCACGAACTGTCTTTTCAATGAGAATTATCTTGTTCTGTGGGCTTCACCCTACCTACATAAAACCTACGTCCTTGCTATGCAGTTCAGGCTGGCCTCGAACTCACTCTGTAGCCCAGGCTGGCTTCAAATTCACAACAATCCTCCTGCCTCAGCCTCCTGAGTGCTGGGATTATAGGAGTGCGACACCACATGTGGCTTCCTGGAGATGTTTTTAAATAATCCTGCTTTCTGCACTCATGATTCCCTGAGACAAGGAAATAAATGCTTGAACAGTATCTTCCCAACCCGTCTCCTGCTCGCAAGTCCTGTCTTGAAGGTTCCTGATGCTAGAAAGAAGACTTTGAGTTTAAAACTTTTCTCCTAAGAACCCCTGTTTTGCCTTAGTCTGAGAGTTCTTCCGCTCACACACCGCCAGTTTCACCGATTGGTTTCTCTTTAGGAATCTGACAGATAAGGTCCTCCCTCAGAGTATTGGCCCAGTCCTAGTATCCAAGAAAAGGAACAGAAAGCTGGGTAAGTGGCCCTGGGGCTTGAAGAATGTGCAGCATTCACTGCATGACTGAAACAACCTCTTCTGCATCCAGTGATTGCTCTGTTGCAGTTTCGTCTCCTGAACAACCCTGCTACCCTGGGATCCCAGCCCCAAAGCCCTCTGGCTTCTACTATGGACAAGTGTGGCGCTCCCTGGCCTGCTCCAGCCGCTCCTTCCCCACGGCTGACAGCATCCTGAGCTGCCTGGCTGGCCACATCGTCCACATGATGGGGGACTCCACACTTCGGCAGTGGTGGGAGTATCTGCGTGACACCGCGCCCTGTGAGTACTGGGAGTATTCTACTCCCCTGCTAGAACAACTAAGAGAACAAGAGGAGAACTAGGGCTGAAAGAAGGGAGAAGAGAGAAAATGGTATCAGTGGGGCAGAATGTGGGTTAGATCTCATGACAGTGACATGATTCTGGGCAAGGGCTGGGAAACAAGGTGCTCAGAGTATGCAGATCTCAGCCATAAAGGATACGATTGGGGGTTCGTAATTATGAGAGAGCAGCTGCGTATGCAACTGTGACTGGAACTGAGGATTTGTTGGGGGGAAACTGAAGGGTTAGAGTTGGAAGGTAAGGGAAAATCTAGAGAATCAAGATTTAGGGTTGGAGCCAGGGATATAGCTCAGTGGTGCCTGCCTGGCAAGTGCAAGATTGTGAGTTCAATTCCCTATACAAAAAAAAAAAAAAAAAAAAAAGGGTTTAGGAGTTGAATTTTAAGGCAGCATTTCTTTCTTTCTTTCTTTCTTTCTTTCTTTCTTTCTTTCTTTCTTTTGTATTTTTGAGACAGGATCTCACTGTGCAGTTCAGGCTGGCCTTGGCTCACTTTGTAGCCCAAGCTGGTCTCAAACATGCAACAATCCTCCTGATTCAGCCTCCCAAGTGCTGGGATTACAGGTGTGTGCCACCATGCGTGGCTCAAGGCACCATTTTTATATTGTTGGGCAGACTGGAGAGAGAAAGAAAGAGAGAGACAGGGAGGGAGGGAGGGGGAGAGGGAGAAGGAGAGAAAGAGAGAAAGAGAGAAAGAGAGAAAGAGAGAAAGAGAGAAAGAAAGAAAGAAAGAAAGAAAGAAAGAAAGAAAAAAAGAAAAAAGAAAAAAAGAAAAAAGAAAAAAAGAAAGAAAGAACCGACTAAGGCCCAGTTATAAGACGGTGGTAAAGTGAGGCTCAGTTAGTAAAGAAATTGTGTCCACAGTAAAGGAAGATGCTAGAGGAACCCATGGTGATGCTGACTGATTGGGCCTAGAATGAATGGAGGTGAATGAATGACTCCAGACAACCACCGAGTAGATTCCAAACGGTGTCACTGGGGCTGGGTACTCGAACTGGGGCAAGGGCAAAGGAGTGCAAGAAGACAGTATATCTACTTCACACTCCTTCACACTGAGTGCAAGAGGCGGGAGGGGGCTTCTAAGGGAACATGTGGACGAGGTATTTGAAGACATGAGACTGAAGTCAAAATGAGACGTTGAGCTTCAGAGTTTTGATGTTTATGCCTTTGGGGACAAAAGATAAAGTGGTGAGAGTGTCCTACAAACTGAGCTCAGCTTATAGCTCTCACACACCAGGGTTTAGGGCAAAGCCCAAATTATGACATAGCATGGATTAAAGGGTAGGTCTTATTGGGAAGACAGCTAACATGAGAGTTGATGAGAAAGAACCTGAGCACCCAACTCCAACTGTCATCATCCCACAGAAAGAGTAGTATGTGGGACCCACAGGGTAAATCTGTGTTCTTCTAGAAGGGAAACTTCTTGCCTCCAGCACCACATTTATTGCCTCTCCCCTTTTCTGAGACAGCATCTCGATATACAGTTCAGACTGGCCTTGAACTCATTTTGTAGCCCAGGCTGGCCTTGAACACCTCTTGCCTCAGCCTCCCGAGTGCCACCACAGCTGGCTTGTCCCTTCTTACCTACAAGTGTAAAAATAGCCTTTTGGGGGGGTTTCCCAGTGCAAAACAGTCTGGAGGCGGGCTTCTGTTTGTTTACAGGAGTCGTCTGAAACCAGCTGCCCCACCTTGGGGTCACTGAGATGTTGTCTACCTTCTTTTCCAAGGACTGAAGCCTCCAGCCTCTCAGCAGTGTTATCTTGGTTGCAGCTCCTCCTCCTAGTTGAAAGAGGAGACCCAGCTATTTCAATACTGAGGCAGTGCCAAGTAAAATGGTAGAGCCAGGTGTGCTGGCTCATGCCTGTAATTGCAGCACTTGGGAGGCTGAGGCAGGAGGATTGCTGTGAGTTCAAGATCAGCCTGACCTACATAGTGAGTTCAAGCCCAGTCTGAACTACATAGCAAGGCCCTGTCTCAAAAACAAACAGTGAAAAAACCAAGTAACCTGGTAGAATCACTTTGGAACAATTCTGCTCATGGACTCGATTCATTTCCCAAGCAAGAGATGTTTCTAAAGATGGACAGAAGCCCAGGACAGAAGGCTGGCAAAACCAGAGCCTTTCTGCATGATATGGAGCCTTGCTGTGAATCAAAAACATTCCCCTTGGGGCCAACATGGCCTTACAACATGGAAGGGTGTGCATGCAGGAACTCCGTGCAAAGAGGGGGGCCTCATCTAGTGTGTGAGTGGACAGGCTGGATCTCAGATGCCACTAGTGTCCTAGCCTGGCCACCATGGCATAAGGACATAAACTTGATGATGAGTTTCTAGCTTGGAGTAACTCTTCATCCAGGGGGTGACTCAAGGAAGCCAATGAGTGAATCCAAGTTGGAGAACTCAGTCAGGAGGCTGCAAAGAGTGATGACTATGAAGAGAGAGCATTTCCATAGGAAAATCAATGAGACAGAATGCTAGAGGCTGGGAGGCTGAGGACCAAGAACATTCCCAATGGGGAGCTAGGAGGTCACTGGCAATGTCATAGATTATGGAGAGCAAGATCAGCTGGCAACAGGGTGCTCCTATGCTAAGAAAGAGATGCTAGAGCGTTTATATTTTTAAATGAGGAAATATAGCCCGATATTAACTCCTGATCCCCACTCTCATGCTCCCCACAGCCCTGAAGCCGGTGGATCTACATACCATACATCACTCAGGGCCCCTGATGGCCGTGGACACGACTCGGGGCATAGTGCTGCACTGGCGGGCCCACAGCTGGCCCCTGCGCTCTCTCCGCACACCAGTGGCCTCCCTGCACTCAGTGGTCAGGGAGCTGGCGGGCCTGGCCGGGGGGCGCCACACCGTGGTCGTGCTGGGCTTGGGAGCCCACTTCACCACCTTCCCTCCGTCCATCTTTGTGCGACGCCTGGCAGGGATCCGGGCAGCTGTGATGGCCCTGCTGGCCCGGGAACCCAGTACTCTCGTGGTCATCAAATTGGCCAATACTGGCTACAAGTCTGTGTACGGCAGCGACTGGTTTACCCTGCAGGTGAACCGGCTCCTTCGAGCTGCCTTTTCTGGTGTCCGTGTAGCCTTTGTAGATGCCTGGGAAATGACCTCCAGCCTGCCCCTGCCGGACAACATCCACCCAGTGAAGCTCATTGTGCGCAATGAGGTGGACCTGCTCCTCTCCTTCATCTGTCCCACCTGAGTGCTCCTGAGGGTCCTGAGGCTGGGTTGGCAATGGGCCTAAGGCCTGGGCCAGAATTGTGAAGAGAATTATACTCATAATAAACTTTCTGGGATAAGGACAGGTGCCATCCACTTCTCTCACTGGAAGGCTACAATCTTCCTCACTAGTCCCGCTGATTTTCTTCCTGCCTCACACCAATCCCTTTCCCACTCAGAACCAAAGTGATGAAAAACAAATGAGACCATGGTATTATACCTTGCTTGAAAGCCAGTGGCTCCCATCTTAATAGAAACCCCAACTTCTTACCATGGTCCCCAAGATCCTGCATGATGGTCCTGCCTAACTCTATTTTTTTTTCTTTGTAATAGTGCCTGTGCATTCAGGATTTTGTTAATAAAGTCTTTGCTTACACCAATGCCTTCAAGAGTTTTACCTATTCTATCTTCCAGGAGATTTAATATTTCTATCCCAATATTTATTTATTTATTTATTTTAAAGAGTAAAACAAGGATAACATAATAATAGGGGGGACTTAGCATATTACAGACAAAATGGTAGGAAATTATCAATGGTTATCGTTTTACATATTATTATCTACAAAATAGTTTCTCAGGAAAACAAATAGACAAATAATAGTGCGTTAGAGACAAAAGAGGTAGGAGATTATCAAGAGTTGTTGTACTACACTTTGGTATCTTCAAAGTGGCTTCTAAAGAAAATAAATAGAGCTATACATGAGTGACCTATTGAAAAATCATTAACTATTCTCAATGGTTGTTGTAGGAAACATAATAATAAACATACATCCATTTATGAAATAGGATAGGAACATTACAAACTTTACACAGTTATGGATAGATTAGTAGGAAAATATCAATGGCTGCTGTAATACATGGTGGTATCTTCAAAGTGGTTTCTCGGTCCTGCCTAACTCTAAATCCTCATTTCTCACTACTCTTCTGTGACCCTTTGTATTGTAGTTCAATCATGAGTCTTCTTGCTGGTTAATCCGGTCAAGCTGTCCCGCCACAGGGGCTTATATCTGCCGTCCTTGTGCTTGGAGTGCCTGTCTTCCAGATTCTCATATGACCAGCTTTCTTCCTTTTCAATTTCTTAATCAAACACCTTCTCACAGAGGCTTTTCCTGTCCACCCAAATTTAAAGAGCTCTCTATCTCCTCCTCACTCTGCCCGCATCACTAACTACAACCTATAATTATTCATAGCTACTATTTATTATTATTGCTTACTTGTCTGTCTCTGTAGAATGTGACCTCTATGAGGGACAGGAAGTTTGTCTAGCTTACTTACTGTTGTATCCCATAACCTACAGTACTGCGGGAGACACTGCAGGTATTAAATAAATATTCACTGAATGAACAAAAAGTGACTAAGGGGAGGTCACTGCTGTAACCCGTACCTTCTCTCAGCAACTCGAACCCTGTGAGAAATAGGCAATTGGTTTGTGACTGATTACCATATTTGCATGATTATCACTATTCATGTTTTAATTTATATTTAGGCAGTTTCTATTTTTATTTTGGAAGACCTTCACAAGAACTTTTTTTTCATTTTAATGAGGACTGCAGAGGATTCTTGGAGACCTGAGCCAATCCTTGATACTAAATTGGTGGCAGAGGCAGGCAGTATCTCTCCGTGCTGACTTGAACAACTGCCTTCTGGAAGGCTAGAAGTGAGCGGCCATCCTTCCCTTCTCTGATTCTGGCTGACCAGGTCCTCTGGGTATCCTGAATGTTCCTTCTTGGAGGGGCTTCCCTGACAAAAGTCCGGTCCTCCTCAGGGCTCATCCTTGCACGCTCAGCTCCTTATCTCCGACCCCTGGCTCCTGAGTGCTGTTCCCGCAACTATTTGTCTCAGGCTGAAAGGCCTCCCTGACCACCCGAAAAGGGGCTCCGTGACCAGGCACGATCACATTGGCGGCGCCCAAGATCCTCTTTCGGCTCCGCTCCTGCGCCACCGGGTCTTCGCTCAGCTCCTGCCACGAGCCCTCGTCTCCATCGCGCTCAAACACATCACCCGCCACCACCACGGTGCCCAGGGCCGTGCTTGCCACCACCACGCTCACGTCCCGCTGGCCCCCGTGGCCCGGCGTGGCCCACACCTCAAGCCCCGGCCCCAGGCGCAGCGGCCGCTCCTCGCTCAGGCCGTGCGGCAGGTAGAGGCCCCCGGGAAGGCAGAAGTCGTGCGAGACCAGCAGAGCCGCCCCTGGAAACAGCCCCAAGTTTCCGATATGATCCGAGTGCCCGTGGGTCCCCACCACCAGAGTCACGTCTCCCGGGGACACGCCCTGCCTCGCCAGGGCCCCCAGCAGCGCCTCTCGCGTCCAGGGCCCCCCGGTATCCACGAGGATGGGGCCACGCGCCGCCGCCTCCAGGGCTGCCTTTGCATCGCGACCCGCGGGCAGGGCCTCCCGACGGCTGGACGCCGGGTCCCAAGCCCGGGGCAGGAGCAGGGTGACCGAGCCGTCAGCGCGCACGGCGTCGCCCCCCGTCTCCGGCTCGGAGTAGCCCTGCAGCAGAACCACCACGGAGTAGGGGTCGCCGGGCACCCGCAAAGGGGCCCCGCTCAGAGCTTCGGTCCGCACTGCGCTGCTCGCGGCAGGGAGGGGCGGGCTGGGGAGACAGAAAACGGGGCTGTGGGCGACCTCGGAGCTCCCACAAGCCCCACCCCCCACTACCGAAGAGGCGCCCTCCAAGTCCCAGCTCTGCCACCCGTCTGCCCTTAACCCGGTACTCCATAGCCCTCGCCCCCCCCCCCGCAGAAGATGGTATCGCCCAACCTTCCGCGATCCCCGCCTCTCTCGGCTTTTCGGCCCCCGCCCCTCTGGTCTCTTAGTAAGCCCTCACTGGTTATCCTCCGAAGGAGATCTGTTTTCTTTGCCTCCTACTGACCTAGTCATACCGCCTCGCCGAAGTCGTCTTTATTGAGGAAAGCGTAGAAGTCGGGCAAGCGCGGGGGACTTTGACCTCTGCGAGCTCCCGTAAGTCCAAGTATGGCGGCCGAAGTGGCGCCACATACGTAACTAACTCCCGCGCATCATAAAATTTGAGCCTTCACCTGCCTCGCAAACAAGTTCTCTCTACAGTTCTCCGCCCCGCGACCTTTCCAGATTCCTTGGGCCGCAAAACTACCAAGCCGATTAGTTGCTGGAAGGGTGGCATCCAATGGCCCCTCTGTCTAGGCGCTGCTTCATCAACCAGCTATATGTGCACAGACATTTCAAACTGGGCCCAGTTGATATTGTTAAAAAGTTTAATAGCCATATATAAAATTTGGCACCTGTGAGATTAATATGAAGTAGACAAGTATCTAACTTAATCAGCATCGGGGCTGGGGATTTAGCTCAGCAGCACAGCGCCTGCATGGTAAGCGCAAGACCGTGAGTTGAATTCCCGGTACCGGGGAAAAAAAATATATGTATCAGCATGGCCTCACACCCGCTCCCCCAGTGTCCTATTCTTGTTCCCGGCTTGCTAGTGTGCAGCCTCCTGGACACAGGTAGTGTACAGTATATGGGTCATAGAGAATGTCTGCTCTGTCACCTTCCTTGTAAGGATCTAAAACCAGATCCATTGGGAAGCAAAGTGACTTTCCTAAGACCCACAACTCCTGGCCATCGCTGACCTCTAGGGAGCAGTAGAAATATTTACAGGGAAAAGCTTCAAGGTTGTCACCACACACACACCTGCCAATTAAGGGGCCGGAAGGGCTGGCACAGGGCTCATCTGTGGAGGCAGGACTTCCACCTGCTGCTCCTGCCTTTCTCCCCACAGTCATGCTATCCTTCATCCCCAAGATCTGCCTGATATCAGATGGGAAAGAATAGTTAGAAGCGTTGGGGTGGGGTCACTCACACTAACACACCCTTCAAGCTGTGGGGCAGGGACAGCTCAGACTAGAGAAGGTTCTTCCTAACCCCTCCTGGGGGTTCAAAGGCAAGAGTCAAAGATCCTCTGGGTCATGCTTGGAGTGTCCTTCTGTCTTTGTCATTTCCTCTTCCTCTTCTTCCCCTTCCTCTTCTTCTTCCCCTTGTTTCTTCTCTTGTCCATCTGTCATCTTCTCCTTCCCAGTCCAAGTTTCCTGTAGACATGCTGGGTGGGGTGGGAGAAAACAATTTAAATTTTGGTTCTGGGGCTAGGGAACACTGCTTTCTGGCCCAACGCCCACACCTACCAGTTTCAGCAGCTGGGAGCACATGACCTTCACAGAGAAAACGCTGGAGGGGCTGCTCCTGATGGTGGAAGTACCAGTCTCCCACGACATCTTCATACTCCTCCAGCATTGTCTCACACTGGTCAAGTGGAAGAGTGGGATTAGCATCTGGTCTGCGGAACTTTGCAAACCCTCCTCTGCTCTCCACCCCGTCTCCCTCCTTCAATTCACTGACCTTGGAAAGGCTGGTAGCCAGGTTAGGTTGGCTTAGTAATCATGATCTTCATTCAACAAACCTTTACTAGCTCCTGTTCTACTAAATAGGTTATTAAATTCTGAGTCTCAGCTCCCTTTCCTGTAAAATAGTCCTGTAATCATACCTACCACATCAGGTTGTTTCATGAGTAAAATGAGGCAGCACCTGGAATTATGTGATCTCCAATCAGGAACACACAGTAGTTGCTCAATAAACAGTGGGAGATAGTATTAGCCTCTGATTCTTCTTTCTTTTTTATTTTTTTTAAGTACTGGGGACTGAAGCCCAGGGCTTTCACAGTGAGCTACACCTGCAGCCCTTTTCTATTTTTTTGAGAGAGTCTTACTCACTAACTTGTCCAGGCTGGACTCAAAATTGTGATCTTCCTGCCTCAGCCACCCAGAATGTGGGGATTATAGGTGTACACCACCATGCTTGGCTCCCATATTACTTCTTGATATGCTCATGGGCCTGTCTTAATGGATGGCATAATCCTCACTCTGCCCCCTTCTCCCTGCTCAGAGGTGGACATCCCTTACAGTCAAGTCCTAGGACCTCGCTCCCCACCTCAGCTTCCATTCTCACCTCCCCAGATACTGTGATATCTTATCCTACCTGCTTCTTGAGGAATGTGACTTCCACGCTGGGTTCATCCCACAGCTCCAAAGGGATCCCCAGATCCACCTTCACTCCCTTCTGCACTAGGCCTTTCAGCGTCGCCATGGTCTGACTCTGACCCTGAGCAATGGAGAATATGGGTCAGCCCAGTGCAGTATCACCTCTTCCTTCCCTTTTCCACCTCATCAGTTTTGTCAACTACTGAAGTCTCAGGAGTGAGTTCAGTGAGGGTGAGATGCAGGAGTATGAACATAGTAAGTTGGGGATACTCCAGAGCTGGGGGGAGATGGGCATATATCCCTTGAGAGTCTCAGGGGATACAGGTCTGTTATGGTTTGTGTCTAGATGTCTCCCCAAAGCCTCACACAGTCATGGGGTTGGGCTTCTAGAGTTTACGATTGATTCATGGCCCAGTGCTGGAATTATGGATATGAGAGCTACACCTGCCTTGGGGCGGGTAGTTTGCATACAATAAAAGGGAGGGAAAGAGCCTGCTGTCTCTCCCCTCTTTGCTCTTGCCGCTTTGGCCATCTAACGCCACCATGAGATGTTGCCCTCTGCTATGTGCCACTCTGCCTTGGAGCCAGCCGAGTATGGACTGAAACCTCTACAAAATGTGAGCTAAATAAACCTTTCCTTCCTTAATTCTGGGCGTCAGGTATTTTGTCTCAGCAATGGGAGAAAAGTTACCAAGGCAAGGTCTTTGTTTCTGAGAATCAGGGTCCTCCCCTGGGGAAACGGCTGACCTTGGCATATCTCAGGGACCCCTTGCGCTCAGCATGAACACTGTAATCCAGGATCCGCTCACATAAATTCTCCAAGGCCTCTTCCAGTCTTGTCTCTCTGTGGGAAGAGGAAAACAAAGACTTCCTGGACCCTGCAGGGACCCTCAGAACAACTTTTGGGACTGGAAGGTAGATGAGCACCAAGAAGAACTTACGAAACACTGTAAGGCACATGTTTCTTCCTCTTGCCTGTGTCCAGCACCTGCCCCAGCTCCAACACCTCTCGAGATCGGCCAGTGCGACTCAGCTTCTCTTGTAGCTCCATGCTCAGTAGCTTACACACTGAGAGTGAGGAGAGATGTCCAAAGGAATGTGAAAGGCAAGTGAACACATCAGCAGTTCTGCAGATGACCAAAGGCAGCGGAGTATGCTGGGTTGGACTCTAACTCTCAGTGGCTGTGACAATCTTGATGTGCCTCAGTTTCTTTACCTCTAAAATGGGCATAATACTATGACCCTTATAAAGGTATAGTGAGGATGAAAATGAGGATATAAGTGTTTGCTGTTATGCTGAAATTATCGAGCTCCTTCTGTATACATAGTAACAATATAGAGAACCTGTAAGACCCATGATCTTGGCCCAGCATGGTGGCACATGCTTGTAAACCCAGCACTTGGGAAGCTGAGGCAGCAGGACTGCCACAAGTTGGAAGCTAGCCTGGGCTACGTCACAAGATCCTGTCTCAACTGCTCCTTCCCGACAAACAATGCATGATCTTTGTGCCTGGCGACGATGCCAATGTAGTTGGAGATAGATAAACAGATAATAATACAGTGTGGTAGACCCTACAGCAGGCACTAAAATCAAGAAACTTAATCTCATTAGGAAATGCAAAATTCATTCAAAGGTTACTTATTGTCTCTTGTTAGCCTTTGATTTCCATGAGGGTGAATGACCAGCCCATTTTCATTACTGTCTCTTCATCACCTAGTACCTGACCTGGCACTTGGTAGGTCCCAAGAAAATAAACGGCCCATACAAAAGAGACCAGTAAACCAAACAAAGGTACAAGTAACCAAAGTGCTTAAATGTGCTTGGCACTGTGCCAAGCCCTGAGATACACAGGTACTCCCTTCCCTGCAGGAGCTTACAGCATAGCAGAAGGTGACAGATAAGCAAGAGGTTTCCAAAGGAGGTGATATTTAAACTGGGTGTTGCGGACTCCTTATTATAGGGTTATTTCAGGCAACAGGAAAAACAGCAAAGACACAGAGTTGCAACAGGAAAAAAAGGATGCTCAGTGACCAGGAGACGTTCAGGTTCAGAGCTGTCTGCAGCACAGGCACTTTCAGGATGGGAACGGGGTATGAAAATGTAAGAAAGTGTGGGGCTGTCCAGCGGAGATGTATGTGCATTCTGATCACAGCATAAGCTTGCATAGGTGTTAAGCCAAGATTTGATCGGAGTTTAGAAAGACTGACAGGAAGAAGAAGAATGGGGACACAGAAGTAAAAGAAAGTGAGAGACTAGAACCAAGTTGATAGGAACACAGGACACGCAAAGATCAGACTTGGAAGTGCCCCTTCCCAGCGAGTCCCACCCTAACGCAGCCGGGGAAGATGCTGCTTGGAGTAAAATCCTTACAGTACACACACTCTGCAAAGCCTCACACTCATGTGAAACTTAGTTGTGTGTCCTCCCATCCGGTGTTTACGAGCTTCGAGGGCTTACTCATCCTCAAACACCCTCAGGGTGGGATGGGGTCTGTAATTTGGCAGCGTCTCTGCCAGGGCGGGGCAGAGGATGTCTACAAGATAGGAGCCTCATACCTTGGTCCTGCAAGCTCTCCAGATTTAGATCTGGCTGGTGACAAGTAAGAAATATCGCAGACTGATGCTCGGTTGAGTCGGAGGTCCAGGGCAGATAGTCCCTGAACTACAATTCTCACACCGCACTGGGGGCCCAATCCTGCAAGAAACAGCAGTCTCCCGGCTCGGCCACAGTTTTGGGGTGGCATTATGCATGACTCCCTTGATCCCATTCTAATTCTGCCAAGCTCCACCAGAACCTTGCTCAGGACGTCAAAGAGGTCGAGTAACCCACCCATCATAGTCCACCTGGTCCGGCCTTAACGAAAGAAGTGAGGCAGACAGATGCAAATAGGGACTGTTCCCTTTTGATACCTTCGCATTTGCTGGGCAAGCGTTCTGTGTCATCGTCCTCTTCTTGCGACGTTCCAGCCCAAGCACTATACAATGCCACCACGATTAACAACATTCCTAATCGTACAGGTCCCATGACAAAGAGCGTCCACAAACAACCACAGTTTGACTTCAAACTAACTTCGGGAAGGGAGCGGGCCCTTTAAATTCGGAGGCGGTAGGCGGCAACATTAAATCCACG